CTCTAGAAGGAATAGAATTTTGTGCCAAAACATGAAGTATTCAGTGTTGGTAGCTGCTGCTCTTTCATAAGCACCCTTGAACCTTTTAGGAGCCAGCTTCCTGTGTACCCACTTTGTGTGGGAGGTTGGCGTTCCCTGTCCAGAAGCATAGGTAAGAGGAAAGGTAGTTACTGTCCTGGAGCTCACAGCAGACCCTGTAATGTGACCAGGTTGCAGTAGCAGGTCATGGGGCTGGGGTGGGCTGCATGCCTGTCCTGGGCAGGCTTCTCTGCAGACCTGACTGCAAGAGGCAGAAGAAGTTCCTGTTTGCAGATGGAAAGGGTGTTTCTTAGAGGCTCCAGCTTGCCTGTCAAGGATGCCTGAGTAATGCAGACCCCTGCTGCTGTGGCTGGCCAAGAAGCCAAGTTTCTTTCTGTTGAGTCTTGTTTCCAACCCTGCTCCTGTTAGTCCTGCAGATGCCAGTTTATTTGCACACTCCATGCTGATCTTGAATTGAAAGCCTCTCATTGTTTTTGAGCTCAGTGTTTAGATAACACCACATACCTGTGGCAGCCAGGGCACCCTGTAAAGGAAGTACCTGGGCTCTCACAGTCCTATCATTCATTCTCTGTGTGCAAGTGAGTGTGGCTTGTGTTCAGGACCACCATATGAACATTTTTCTGTAGGGATGACTACTTAGGGCCTGCAGGGTACCAGGCTTCCCCTTGATGTCTGGAGTTCTAGGGATGGTTTTCTTTCTTTTTTTTTTGAGTTGGAGTCTCACTCTATCACCCAGACTGGAGTGCAGTGGCCGTTTCCGGCTACTGCAGCCTCGACCTGCTGGGCTCCGGTGATCCTTCCGCCTCAACCTTCCAAGTAGCCGGAATTACAGGCATGCGCTACCATACCCGGCTGATTTTTTGATTTATTGTAGAGATGAGGTCTCGCTGCCCAGGCGGGTCTCGAACCCGCGGGCTCAGGCAATCCACTCACCTCAGCCTCCCAAAGGCGCGGGATTACAGGCTGAGCCCCCGAGCCCGGCTTAGGATGGTTTTCTAGGTCTCTTCCCTCTTTCCTTTCATTCCAGTCATTAGAGGATTGAAGGCTGTCTTGCCCAAGTCTTTTTTCTTGCTATGGTTCCAAAGCCTTCCTTCCTCTGGGGAGAAGACTGCTTTGGGGAGCCAGTGCTGCCTATGACTGGTGTTGGTACACGTTGTTTTATGACAAGCTAAAAACATTGTGCCTCTCTCTCCATTGTGGTCTCAGGGCTCTTCTTCCCACAGGTTAGTTCGGTTCTTGTCTGCTTAATCTTTTCCATCACTTTCTTGGCAAAAAAGAGAAAAATAATTTGTGGCCAGGCATGGTGGCTCATACCTGTAATCCTAGCACTTTGGGAGGCTGAGGTGGGAAGATCATTTGAGCCCAGGAGTTGAAGACCAGTCTGGGCAACATAGCAAGACCTTGCCTCTATTAAAAAATCAGAGCTGGGTGCAGTGGCTCACGCCTATAATCCCAGCTCTTTGGGAGGCCGAGGTGAGAGGATTGCCTGAGCCCACAAGTTTGAGACCAGCCTGGGCCACTTGGCGAGACCTCATTTCTTTTTTTTTGAGTTGGAGTCTCACTCTGTCACCCAGACTGGAGTGCAGTGGCTGCTTCTGGCCACCGAGGCTTGACCTGCTGGGCTCCAGCGATCCTTCCGCCTCAGCCTTCCCAGTAGCCGGAATTACAGGCATGCGCTACCACGCCCGGCTGATTTTTTTGATTTATTGTAGAAATGAGGTCTCGCTGCCCAGGCGGGTCTCGAACCCGCGGGCTCAGGCAATCCACTCACCTCAGCCTCCCAAAGGCGCGGGATTACAGGCTGAGCCACCGAGCCCGGCTAAAGCTATGATTTTTAAATTTCATGTCCAGATGCCAAAACAACAATAGTAGATCATCATGTCATTCCTTATCATATTTTCTATGGCCAATGATCTAAGTAGTCCGAGCTTCTTGCACTAATCTCAGTCAGCT